CAAAGAATATTTTCTCTCTTAACAAGTGTAAACAAAATAAAAATGATGAATAGACTCGAAGGTTTAGAATAATATTTCAAGATGTCGGCTTGTTAGTTTGCAGTCTCTCACACTGGAGGCGCGCAGTTCTAATTTACTGCGATAAAAAAATCTCATTATTCGTCTAACGTTGTGTTTTGTTTGAGGGGGGGGGGGCGAGGAAGTTTTGTTATGCGGTCCAGCACGCAGCGGGCGTCAAAGGAGACACGTCTTTCGGACGAGACAAGAAGCAGGCGGACGGACAGCGCGCCACATGAGATCAACTTCCAAACTTCTAAGATCAAGTTTAATATTATCCTCCCATATTCTCATAAGTCTTCCGAAAAAAGTCTTTTACTTACGGGCTTTGCAACCACAGCTTTTACTACTGGGATACTGGGAACGACTCGATCTTCAAGTGCCTGAGCACTGCGGGTCCCAACTTTTCGTTGGCTCGATCTATAGACATTCGGTAGGACTCCTTGGACGAGAGATCGGCCCGTCGCAAGGCCTCTACCTGTACACAGGACAGTACAAACACAGAAAGACGCAGACAACATCCATGGCTTGAGTGGGATTCGAACCCACGGTCCCAGCGACCAAGCGGCACAAGGCCCGCGCGGCCACTGCATACCCCCACAGTTTTTACACATTTTACATTCCCCTGCGAGCTACGTGCCCGGCCCATGTTCTCTACCTTCGTTTGATGATTCTATTAACATTTGGTGAAAAGTTTAAATTACAGACCTGAAGCTGTAACAGCGACGAATTTTTATGAATTCTTCTCTGGCCACCAGCCGTGTAAGGCGGCTTCATTAAACAGGTGATTGTAACCATAGCAACTATCAGCGCAAGCTACACCATGTTTTATGATATTGTAAGTATAACACCAGAACCGAGGATTAACATAGTTTTTAATCGTGTGCACGAACTCCTCTAGCCTCGTGGGTACGACGCAATGACTCGAACGACTGAGGAATTTGAGAGATGAGGAAGAGGACAGACACAGCAGGTCCCGCCCAATACGGCTCATTTCCTTTTTTTCCTTCTTACGAAGTCTTGGGGGTGTCTTAAACGCCGCTCAGTTTCTAGACCACTGTGCCGCCTGTTACGACAAATTCAATTCGTGCTCCGTGAGGAAATATCCGAGGCGCATCTGCTCCGTTGCACTTAGGGTTCAGGCGTGTTATTTGCCCACACGGAGTTCCGTTTTAGTTTAACGTCTCATCTTCAGTTGCGAGACTGGAATATGTAAAATAATAAGAAACCAGTGTCTGTAGTAATCATCGACGCCCGCAGACAGCCGACATTAGTATAGGACTTTGTAAAAGGTTATGTGACCCTTTAAAACACAGTGGTAACTTTATGTACCACGTGTTCTAACATTCAGGAACCCTGATTGCCACCGTAAACAGAGATCATTTCCTTAAACATCGTTAACCAACTGAACGTTGTCATGGAAACGCACTGTTTCTTCTTTTTTTTCAAGGTATGAAGTAAATTTTTAAATATTCCACACAAAAGCTTCGTGATAAAGGATAATAATATTAACAGCTGATTTAATCAAGCGACATTTGACAAAAAAAAAAGCAGCAGAAGATATGAAAATAAGAAACATACAAAGAACGTATTAACAGTAACACAAATTCAGTCATAATGATTTCTGCCAATTGAATTCTGGGTCCCATCAAAGAGCGACTTTTCAACAATACGACAGACAGAGAGGGAGTTGTCATGACGACGAGAAGTCTTGTGATCGAGTTTGTGGGAACAACACAATTACACTGGGCCGGAGGGTTTGCTCCAACTTTGATCTGTAGTCTGACATTCCCATGCGGGTTTACAGATAACAGCTTCGGTTTTAACTTTTGCAGTAATCACACCAAACAGTGCTGGATCCAGCCGCCTGAAATTCAAATTAAATTAGCATTCACAAGTTCGCAAACTTCAGGAGCTGCCTAAGTAGGTCGGCGCGATACGAATCGAGAACACACGGAGATGATCGTGGCGAGTGTTAATGAACTTTGTCAGTATTTACTATTAACGTAACTTAATATTACGTATAACGGCGTCAAACCAAACGCTGTTACTGAGTGCTTAAACTTTCCTGCTCTGTATTCGGGAGGTCCTGATTTTAAATCCGTACCGGGAAACTGACCGCCACGGTGGTCTAGCGGTTAGAACGCTGGCCTTGTAATCCTGGGGTCTCGGGTTCGATTCCCGGCGGTGCCCGAATTTATAACTTGTGTTGGGCAAGGCCGTGGTCTAGGCAACACGGAGTTTTCCTCCGTGGCATCCCAACAATTACTCCATGCACACACAGAAGAAGGCAATGGCAAAACAATTATGGATCATCTGCCAAGAACGTATATGAACAGGTCCCAGTCCGAGAAAAGGATGGAAGGATCCTGTTCATATGGACCTGTCGTCAGACAGAACACTAAATAAATAAATACCCGGAAACTGGCTGTTCTGACTCAGGTTTACCGTAGGTTTCCTCAGTTGCTCCTGGGAAATGCCGGGATAGTACCTGAAATTAGACCAATATTACATCCTTCCACGTCCATTGCCATTCATTGCTTACTATCATACAATCATCTGACAGTATGCAGTCTGAGCTACTAACACCGAAATTCTTTGTTACTGTGCCACTAGAATTAGGAAGACCGGGAACCGACGCAGTGGAAGAGGGTAGATAATTCCGCGTGTCCTGCAGTATCCTAGCAACTAATCGCTACCACAATGCAGCTTTTCATTCTAACTTAATGACTCACACATACTCAGACTGACTCTAATAATCTACAGACGTTTTGAATAAATAATCAATCACCTGATGAAACCAGGTATTAAAAAACCGCAACCATCCACCCAGACAATTAATGAACTGACTCGTATGTCGCGATCCGCCACTTGGCGCCAACAGGTAGACGCGGGGTTAAATTAGTTCTGAGCCGGCAGAGCTCGACGCACGAGAACGTACCACAGTTCGCAGTAGCAACACTCACAGACAGCCACAGGCCGGCCCCTGCCGCACTCATAAGACTGGAATGTCTCTCTTAAACCTTACCTTCACGTCATTTACAAAAATGAGGTTGCACCGACCGAGTCCTGCAAGGGGTAACAATTATATCTGCGGTGGAGAGAATGTGACGAGGAGCTTTGACGCAGAGAACAAAGGCGTAGAAAAATGAGGACAGCGACAAGGAGGCACCAGAATCAGGAGGACAGGAGCCCATAATTTACTCGTAATTAATCAACTTGGCAGCTGCTGAGCCTCTCGCGGGAACAAAGGTTCAGACCTCTCGTTTTAGGCATTTCAGTACCGAGAAACATATCGATAGTTTGATGAATTCCAAAAGTCAAACATCGCTTTCGGAAAACTTGGGGGGGGTTTGCGGGCAGGGAAAAAAAAACACTGCCTTCAGAATTACAGAGCAGACCGAGTGATGACTGGAAGCGAGGGGGTTCATGCGGTCTCCGCTCGGCCCCGGAAGTTTCCAGTTTCGCCGCCGCGAGACTGGAAACTTCGCCACTTAACTGGACTATACATTAATGTGTTCTAATAGCAGTTTTCTTGTAAATTAAAAGAAGGTTAACTCTTTTCAAACACCCGGGGGGGGGGAAGGAAACCTAAATGCACGTTAACCAAAATTAAGTAAAATAAAATATCGATGCGTGGTATTGGCCACACTCGGTCACTTAAGGAGAATCGATCCAACATTCTGTTTCAGGCCATTTCTGCGCACAGTGGAAATAACATGCACCTCACCTTTTAGCAATAAACTAGAAATGCCCACTGAAATTAAACGGAAAATCAAAAACATATTTTTCTTACGATGCCCTGGTAAACTTAAGTCCTTTTACGTCTTCACACAGCAAAAATTGTATTCAACGCCGTTTTGTGCAAAGCGTCGAGTCATTGGACACCAGTGTACCCAATTTTACAAACAAAATATACACTCTGGATGATTACGGATTTTCTCCGCAGAGCGTATTCATGTGTCCAGAATGATTCTCAGAATAAACAGTGATCATTTCCCTTGAAGGCATAAACCAATTGAATACGCGTTGTGTTTTCCTTGCGGTACGGGCTGATTTCTTAAATAACGTACCATTCCGATGAGTTTCTGCATCAGATGATTTGTACGTTTACATTATTTCTCATACCAGAATGCTCTTCAGCAGAAAAACTGCAAAGCACTCTCTGGCCACTTAATGGTTTGCAAACACTCCTGCTGCTTCTGGACCTAACAGCACAACGAGTTCCCCTCCGTTTCTAACAAGCACACAGACTTACACACACGGCAACCAGCACATCCCAGAGCTTCTGCGGTTGTTCCATCTTCCCGACTTTCTTCTTATTCTGCAGCAAATATTAGCGCGATCAAATCAAGGATGAGGTGGGGTGGGAGGAGGAGGAGGTAAGAATTATTTTTATTTAAATTGGAGTTTCCGATAAAAATACCAAAACCTGTTCTCACAGGTCCTGTCTGATAGAAGCAAAACTGTTATATTCTTCGTGGGTGAACTGGTTTTCAATCCCAGAATTTGAGAGAAAAATAAAAATAAAATAAAGAAAGCTTCTTCTCTTAGTACGTTTCCATGGTGACATTTAATTTCTGTTACTGGGCGTCGGTGGGAAACGTTCCTTCTACGTATTTTTATCCTCAAACACAAAATAAGTTCAGACGAGCATGGCAAATGCTTCTAAGCGTAGCGTAAATAAGTGTTAAACCTGTCTTCTTCGGAAATAAAACTGACCCCGTGAATCTCCGACGGGCAATGATACTGATAGTGAACAGAAGCGAAACTTTAAAAAACCAAGGAGTATCTCCTTATTTACATGGGGCAGAATATTAATATTTCGTTACATGACCGCTCCTCCCACGTGTGACCAGGTGGGCGAAGCCCCGCCCCACGTGGGGGAGGGGAAAAGGTATAGGAGCACCGAGTAGCGCCAGCGGCCCAGTCCTCTACGTGCCATGGCCCCCTCTGCGTGCCTCGTCGTGGCCCTCATCGTGGCCCTGTTCCTCACCTGCTCAGGTGTGCAGACCTCAGACGCGACAGGTAAGCGAGCCACTGCATAAACTTCTCGTACATGTAAGTTTTCCATTTTCCAAAAAAAAATTGAATAAAAATTAATCAGTGTCCTTCTGTTTTTTTGAACGTGTAATACGCGTGTACATTTCCGAATTGTACTTCAAACCCTCTGAAGCCGAAACTCGTCTAAATATTATTTAAATATTCAGTCAGTACCGCAAAGAAAACACAACACTTTACCGTTAAAGAGATCAATTGGGAAACTCCTTTAAGGAAATGATCGCTGATTACACTGAGAATCACACACAAACCCATGATACGAGGTTTCAATATGCGACACGAATCATAATCATCTATTCATTTCTTAGTTTTCGGTGTGGAATTTTATGCAGTTGATCTTTCGGATACAAAAATTTTACGTTCCCACAACAGCGAAGACATCGCAGTATAAATTCATAGGGAGATAACCGACGTTTCAAAGGTGCATACCTCCTATTTGATTTCCCTTAAGGCTTATACATTCGGCACTAAATAAAGTATGTGGTTCATACGTAGTGGAAAAGACAACCTTTATTTATCGCTTCCATAATTTAAACTTCACTGCTCTCTAAAATACATAAAATAAGTTCTATTAGCTTAAACGAACGTTAACGTTGTGTATATATATATATCTTGTGGGACAGGGATAATCACTTAATATTTCGATCGTTACAAGGTCATCTTCAGGATAATCTATAAGATACAGCAGAAAGTGTTGGTGGCCAAAAACACCTGAATTTGTATGGAGGGACTGAGAGACACCGGGAATATTTTCCATTTAGGATTCATTTTAATATTATTTCTCCATATGAACGTAGGTCTTATATTAATTCTTCCCAACCAGTATTCTGCATGCATTTTCATCGTCCCCCGCGGGGAGAACAATAAATGCTGCAGAGGACGTCAAACCTGCGACCCTTAATTTCCGGCTAACGTAAAACCGAGTACGCTGCCACCGAGACAGGGTCTCTTGGTATCCTGCCGCTACAAATTAGCCACAGAAACACTCTTGCGGTGCTTTAGACACAAATTGGTTTTCACGGAACACGGCGTCGGAACGGAAAAGACGCAAAACTTAAAAAAAAAAACTGAACATTTTTGTAGAATTCGCAATTAATTTATTTCTGACCTCCCATTGCCCAGATGCTGGCGTGACTAAGCAACGGAAATTACGTCCTTCTTTCTGTCCGTCCGTTTAATTTTTCACATCCGCGTCTCGACACGGAGACTGTCAAAATGTTAACTCAGAATACTGTGGTTACAGCGGAAACATTACGCGTTGCAGAGGCATTGAAAGAAGGTACATGGAAAATAATTAGAATTAAAGGCCCTGTCTCATCTAAAATCTTGATAACTATTTGTGCTATATTAATTAACCCTTTGAAGCCGAAGATCGTCTGAATATTATTTATGAATTCAGTCCGTACCGCGAAGAAAACACTACACCTCACCATTACGAAAATCAGCTGGTTAACCCTTTGAAGCCGAAGCTCGTCTTCATAATATTTACGAATCCAGACCTTACCGCGAAGAAAACACTTCACTTAACCATTAGAAGTCGAATCAGGCGGTACCACATAAGATTTAACAAAAGAACATCCCGGTCAAAGCCTTAAGGATATTTATTTAATTCTCAAACCTGTCACCAACTTACACGGGCCCCAAATAGAACTAATTCCGTGGAGCTGAGTGTCCCGTGCTTATCCCACACGACACCCGGAGAAACATCGCCGTTTTCACAAAAGACGTCAAATTTAATCTCCCCTCAGCCACAATCTTCAACCCGTTTCCTCTAAGATCTATTTTAATATTATCCTTCCATATGCGCGTTCGTCTCTCAAGCGTTTTCTTACTTTGGCGACTGACGACGAAGTCTGTATCTGCTGAAGCTGCGATTTGCATAACAGAATCAAAACTGCACAGAAATACACGGAATAAAAATCCACTAGACAACAGGCGCTCTGCAAACTAGCATCAACAGGTGTCGATTTAGTTTCAACCTCCTCCTTCCCCTTCCCTTCCCCCATGACTCGGTCAATTTGAACCAGTAGCGGAAATCGTCGTAAAGAACGCCACTCGAGCCCGAATTTGAGTCACCAATTAGCTTAACTCTACCGGTTATAGCTTTATAAAATCAATCATCGAAACATTTAATTTCATTTAAATGCTCAATCTGCATATTTTTATAAACACGTTTTAAAAATACCCTGGGTCACTCTATAATATGCTAATTAGCAGATCATATTTTTGTGTGTTACGCTTCACGGCTGCAATGCAGATCAATAGCGCCAATCAAAAATTACAAAGCGAACGAAAAATAAAACATCTCTTATATCATTATATACCTACGAATACATAAACTGGTTGACTGACAGATTAGCTGGATGACTTGCTCACTGTGTCACATATTTATAATAATTGCAGATGCAAAACTTTTAATACTGTAATGTAACCCGACACCAAATCCTGATCCTAGTTTAAGGCAGTTCGACCCAGATATCGTAGTCAAAATTATTCTATTGAGGCACTGTCCTTCCATCCAAGTCTTCTTCTTACAAGTGTTCATTCTCCTTGAAATTTCCCAACAAGTATTTTGTACACGCAAATTAAATGTGAGTGTCCGTGACAATGGTATATTATTAAAATGGCGTCGTCTTGATACAACACAACAAATATTCTGCTTGTTCCCATATGCCTTTCTTTCCGGTGCAGTCTCCTCCTTAGTTAAACATTCGTAAGGGAGACACGAGAGTGGCCCGTGCGCTCTCACAGAGAATCGACGGCCATTAATTGACTTACGTACATCCGAAATCGAAGATTTATTTTCGTGCTGAATGTGCATAAAAGGAGCCTGTTCGTCCACACGCATGTTCCATCTCCGAAAATACTTAATGGATCTCCGTTAAATTTCTTGAGATAACTTAATTTTAGATCTTATCTGTCAGACACGAAGATCAACTCAATATTTATCGATTTCTTAGAAACGTGGAACGATGTTTAATGACATGAATGTAAGGAAAAATATAGGCTACTGTCTGCCTTTACGAAGTGTGAAAATTCTAAATGTATTTACAATATATTAGGCCTACACTACACCATATAAAATTGCATTACATTATATGTCATATTATACTACACTACATTAGATAGCATTACTTTATTTTACGTTAAGCCGTATTGTTGTTTTGTATCAGTACAAAGTAGTTTTATAACTTAAAATAAAATTATAATAAGCAGGCGCGTATGTATAAAAACAATGAACATATTTAATTTGTAATGATTGCATTTCGAATTCAAATGCCAAAGTCGTTTTGTAATGAGAACAAGAGATGAAATATTTTAACCTGAAAGACTGTCTGCATTCGATATAATCTTGTTATTAATTATGTCATAAACACTCCTTGCATTTCTTAACGAGAGTTCAAATCTCTTGTGTGAGAAGAAAACACATTCAAACGAAACACAACCAATTCCGGAATACTTAACAGGGGCGTACGCCAGAGGCGCCTTTCTGGAAACGCGGGGAGAGCGAGTAACCTGTTGGCATGTTTCCGTTTATACTTGCAAATGCGAGCGTCGGCGGGGGACGCATTTGAAATCCGGAAGCGGACCTGAATTGCAATTTCCCGACAAAAAGGAAGGTCGCTGCACCGCCCGATCCTGAAAGTGACTAAAAAAAAAAACCCGTCTGATCATCGCAATGATTTCGTCAAACTCCTCCTAATTTCACTGTGCGCATTCTTAAAATGTGAACGAACGTCAAGGAGGAGAGGTTAGCTCAACACTCCCGCGTCGCGTTTTAGACTTCCTGCGCTGAAATAACCGGCCATCCTTACTAATGTTTCTGTGGTTACCCTCAGCCACTCCAGACAAATACGGGAATAATATCTTAAATCAGGCCACAACCGCTTCCTTCTATTTCCTTTTTCAATTGATATTCGTTAATGATAAAATATTTCGTCGCCATAACAAAAATAAATTTCATTTTGTTATCAAGTGGCGAAACGTGATAAGCCGACAATGAATGCTCTTGCATTTTTTTACTTTATTTCCCTAAGAATCGTCTGAATTTTTGTCACGACACTCTGAATCACCCTGTATAGTCTGCGTCATTAAGAACATTGTTAGATAAACCATAAATATATCTGGAATCGGGTACTCAAACCGAACGATGCAATTCTTGTTACCTGAGAACTCGACACTCGGCTCTGAATCCTTCCGAGAAACTCAGAACACACGTTTGTAACCCGTATCGAATATTTTTAATCGATTAGCTATTCAGAATCAACGAATTGTTTCTGCCAGAAGCATTCTATTGGAAATAACAGACATGCCCCTGCGAATGCTGCAATCGCGCACAGCAGTTGCGGCAAGTTCTGTAATTGGAGAGAGGCACTCGTGGCTTCATTTCTGACTGTTCGCGGTTTCCCCATAAAGCAGCTTCTTGCACGATATTTGAGGTCATTACAGCGGTGAAGGCCCTTCCCTGAAGAAGGAAGCAGTATGCTCCTCCGAAACATTGATACCTGCCTACATGTTAAAACCCAGATGACGAACATCGACAAATTTCTTACAGTTCTTTGGATGTAAAAATAGTTGGACAATTCCATCGATAGTAGCGGCCATTGTGACGACACCACTTCTAGCCCTACGGCCCTTCCTACTGCCCTGTCGTCATAATGATTAATCGAAAAATAAACCTCACAATCAACAAAAGACCACGAATCCAATCACTGAGACTACTAAATAGATAAACGAAGTAAATACTGGAGCCATTGCGTGTTTAAAATTCTATTAAACACGTAAAGGCGGTGTAGGAGGATGTAGCTCAGCGGCCGTCGCTTGTCAGGGCGAACGGAAGGAAACCGCAGCAGCTTAGTGAACCCACAACAAACACTTAACGTGATAACCGCGTGTTATTTCTGTAAATTCCTTACATCTTTCTACGGAGGTCGATTCTTAGGTAACATCGTTGCAACTTCAGAGACTATAATTGTACATCCTGTTTAAATGTTCACTGTTTCCGCCTTGACACAGCATCCACACGTATTCATGCTTCGTGCCTTAATATAACTCTTGTTACGTACATCTGGTTCAGGACAGGGACAGGTGGCGGGCTCTTGTGACGACGGTAACGAACCTTAGTGTTCCATAAAAGGCGGGGCATTTCTTTGTTTCTAGAGCGACTGTTAGTTTCTCAACACGGAAACGTCTCCGTGGAGTTTTCACCGACGCTCATCAGCAGAACTTGGTATCGCCTGCAATTGCATGATTAGACTATACGCTACACAACGGTGTCGGAGAAGTTGCCGCATCTTCACGGCGTTTAGTGTTCTTAAGGAAGCGTGCGATTCTGAACTATATCTTGATATTCTGCGGACCTTGTTTTGATAAAACTTCGCACTTTCATCAGATAATGCACGCCGTTACACGAAATGTGTCGCCGTCTGGAAGAAGTTAAAACATACCGGAAAATACCAGCTTATGTTCGATAAATACGTAAATCATCAAAGCGAAAGGAAACGTAATGAAATGGAACCCGGTGGTCTTCCTCAGTCTATCCATCTATGATAGGCAACAAGCGATTCTTTTTTATTAAATCTTTCACAGTACTGCAAAATTCCGTAAATATAATATCTATACACTAAACACTTAATAAAACCCGTACTCTGGCTACGTCATAAAAGGAGCTCACCGTCCCACATTTAAAAAAAATGGCGCTTTGGCTTACTTAATGCCGAAACCTAGCAAAAGCCATATTATTGCGTCACTTATGTCGTGAGGCGGTTTTACGACACCTTTGTGTGTATTTTTATGTTAAGTTGCTAATGTAGCTTTTAAGGCATAAATCAGTC